ATACATACACACTGGGGGCTGGGGATACAGCTCAGTTGGTGCACAAGCACAAGGCCCTGGGTTCAATTCCCAGCAGGACAGAAAAAAAAAATTGGGTGAAAGTTTGACACACACCAAGAGATTCGTATAGTGAACTTACTGTACCCATCTCCCAGGTAACTGTTACTTTCTCTTGTCCATTTTATCAGTCTTCCCCTCCTCTTTTTTTTTTCACTATAGTATTTTAAAGTATATTCCAGACCTCATGTTATTTCTGCTCTAAATTCTTCCACCTGCGTCTTTAATAGGTAAGGTTTAAAGATGGAAAAACAAGGCCATGATCACACCCAGAGAAAAGAAAATGTCTTAATGCCATCTAATGTCTACTCACATGTCTCAAGAAGATCTTTTCACAGTGGTTTATGGACTCAGGACATAGATAAGATCTACATATTCTAATGGCTTTTTTTAATATTATACATATTTAGTTGTAGGTGGACACACAATATCTTTATTTCATTTTTATGTGGTGCTGARGATTGAACTCAGTGCCTCACGTGTGCTAGAAAAGCACTCTACCACTGAGCCACAATTCCAGCCCCTAATTGCTATTTTTTAAAAGAACATTTTTAGTTGTAGATGGACACCTCTATTTATTTATTTATTTTTATGTGGTGCTGAGGATTGAACCTAGGGTCTCACTKGCCAGGCAAGCACTTTACCACTGAGCTACAGCCCCAGACCCATAATGGCTATTTATAATTGTTTAAAAACAGGCTTTAAAAAGTTTCTACTATGTGCAGGGCTCTTGGTAGGTTCTTTTTGTGTGTGGGAGTGCGGAGGTACTGAGGATTGAACCCAGGGGGGCACTCAACCACTGAGCCACATCCCCAGCCCTTTTATGCAGTTTATTTACGGCAGGGTCTCACTGAGTTGCTTAGCACCTCTCTTTTGCTGAGGCTTTGAACTTGCAATCCTCCTGCCTCAGCCTCCTGAGCCTCTGGGGTTACAGGCCTGTGTCACCTCGCCGGCTTGGTAGGTTCTTGTTCTTTTTTTTTTTTTTTTTCTGCCTTGTGGGGCCCGGGGAGGCAGGGGAGAGGTCTGTTTCTCACACCTACCAATATGATGCAGAATGCGGGGGTGATTACACATGCAGTTTCCAAGGTCACAGAGATTAGGCTCAATTCCTGGGTCCACCAGCCACACCAGGCTGAAATTGGGTGAAGGATTTACCGAARACCTCCTTCCACAAGTGACAGCTTCTGTTGTTGTTAGATCAGAACTGTTCTGATTGCAAGAGAAAACCCATCTCAAGCTGGCTGTAGGGGAAGCAAAAACATTGGCAATAGGAATAAAGGCTTAGGGTATAATTTTGTTGCACAGAGTGGGATCCAGGTACCCAAAGATTACCCCTGGGAACCTGACTCCTCCTGACTCTGGCCTCTGCATTTTTCTTTTAAACCAGGCTGTCTTTATTTTCAGGCAGGTTCCATTTCCTGGTGGCTTAAATCCTACAAAGCTTCCCATTGGGCTGGTTTAGGTCACATGTCCATCCCTGAGCCAATGGGAGCGGGGGGCTCAGGGGTGCTCTCTTGAGTCAAGTTCTCATTTTTGGAATTGGAGGGGAGCTGGTGCTGGGGTTTGAACCCAGGGCCTAGTGCATGCGAGGCAAGGACTCTACCAACTGAGCTATATCCCCTGCCCTCCCCTCTCTTTCAGCTTCCTTCTCTGTAAAAAAGAAATTCCAATAGTCTTTCCCTGATTGGATTTATTTCTGCTCACCCAGTATTTGCTGTGTACCTACGATGTGCTGGACACTGTCCTAGGCTCTGGAGATAAAGCAGTGAACAAAACAGATACCAATCCCCACGCTAGTGGGGAAGACAGCTACTGGAAAGGATGCAGAGGAGAATAGTGGGCATTTTATTTTTAATTTTTCCCATTTTTTTTATGGTCATAGTTGTACTCAGTGGTGGGATCCATTGTTATATATTCACAGCTGCACAGAATAAGGATATAATCTGGCCAGTATCATTCCCTAGTAAGTTCCAGTTTCCATACCCCTTCTCTTCTTCTTAGAAGACTTATTAAGAAGGTATCTGGACCATGTGGGCATCTCAGGAAATGTATTCTAGGCAGTGGGAACAGCAAGTACAAAGGCCCTGTGGTAGGAGTGTGCTTGATGAACTTGAAAAACAGCAGGACTAGAGTGGACACTGGAATACATGGAATGCACTTTCCACAGGAAGCYCTATAAAAACACCATTATTTTAATGGAGTTATATGTTCCTGTTTTCAGTTTTTTCCTCTCTTCTTCTCAGGAGCCTCAGCAGGATGATGAGAAGGGCTGAAATGTTGTCAAGTCGGGTCCTGCTCTGATGGYGGCTGGGGTGGGGTGGGRTTGGGGAAGGGAGAGGGAAATACATACAAAGTGTGCCTCCCTGTGCTCTGGTCTGTGTCTGTTGTCCCTGAACCCACGTCTGAGGTCCGTGGAAGGAGTCCACTGCGTGTTCCTAGCATCTCCCAAGTCCTGAGCCCTGGTGTGGGGTTGGGGAAGTGGATGGCTTGGAATAAAGGCCAGCCRGTGCTCCCAGCAGTCTAGACTCAGTTTCTCATGCTGCTGAGGCCAGATTCTTCTGACTTCATTTCCCAGGGCCTGTTCAAGATATACTTGGAAAACCTTCCATCTTATTGGCATTTTTAGGGTTTGAGATGAGACAGGGATCGTGGAGAGTCTCAAACCTGATGCATTCCRAACTGCACTCCAGGACCCACTTTCTAACCCACAAATCTTAGAATTTGGGAGCTGGGGAGGGCATTTGTGCATTCACTGGACATTTATGGGCCCCCTCCTCTGCACCTGGCCTTGTGGGCTCACCAGGAGGTCAAGTRCACAAATGTGGGAGTCAGACTTTTCCAACTTGACCACCTAGCACCCTGCTGTGTGCCCTCCACCAGGGACATTACCCAGTGCCCCACACATGCTGGGCGAGCGCTCTACCATTGAGCCCCAGCCCCAGCCCCTGGTTTTGATTCTGTGAAGGCTCTTGTTGAGCTTCTGCTGAACCCTTCAGCGTGATTTTTCTTTTCTCTTAGAGTTCCCTTTTCTTTTGGCTCCTTCTCAGCAATGCATTCACTAAGTGATAGGATTTCTCAGCTCCTTTATAAGCTTTCAAGGCCACCGTGGAAGTTGTAGCCTGTCTCCATGCTATGTGACACATGGCTGTAGACTATAGAAAGCTCACGCGCGCGCGTGTGTGTGTGTGTGTGGGGGGGTGCTGGGGCTCAGTGGCAGAGCACTTGCCTAGCATGTGTGAGGCACTGGGTTCGATTCTCCGCACTGAATATAA